TCAAAATGTTGATGTTGACCAAAAATCATGAAGTTTGACTGTATATTAGCTACAATTGACTTTTGACCTAATACAGTTAATTTTCAGTCATTTGAGCAATTGACTAAGCAAACTTGTGATGCAAGGCCTGAAACTTTGAATGAGCATTCTTGAGGTCATATTAGGAACCATGGAAATCACTTGAGGCCTTTTAAACCCAAGCTTCTTTGTGAAAAGTGAAACCCTTGTTGGAAGTCTGTTGCTTAGGAGGAGAATTTGTATGGGCAATTTTTGGTCAACCTTGAGCATTTGAGGACCTCTAGGAGTATGTTTTGAATAAAATGAGAGAGAAAATTTGGGGTACAATAGGTAGGTTATGGAAAGGGAAGGTGTTAGCACCCTTTCCATCTGTAGTTATCTACGAGCTCTTAGTTGCTAACTCACTTTTGAAAATGCTTTTTTGGTGTAAGTGTATTTGAAACTATTTTTGAAAAGACACCTTAGTGCAGCGAACTTTGTAATGATTCTCGTTTCATTGAGAATGCATACAAAGTGTTTTGTCTTTGAAAATATTTAGAAAAAGGGAGTGTATGTGTGATAAATTTGTTTTGTGAGCAAGCAACTACGAGCTGTCTACCTACTCGAATGGTCTTTGTTCTTTTCCTCTTTTCCTTTAGATAATGCTATCCCACCATTAGTTGGTGGATAGCCCTATCATTGGATGTTTGAGGGACAAGTGCAGGTCATCATACAATCATAAAGGCAACTCGTAGGATGCTTTAGCAATTTTATTGTAAGGGACTAGATCGTTTACCGAAGGCAGCATCGAAGGGTCATCAAGGGACTACGATCTTTGTAACTGAGGGTCTTTGCTAAAGCGTCCCACGTTCGAGGGACATGAATGTTTGTTTTTTCCGAAGGCAACAAGTGGAGGTACCTTAGAGGTGCGCGTGTGCGAAGTGTGTTGTGTTTCAATTATTTGTCTTGGATGTTAGGTATTCTACCGTTTATTTTTAGGTCTTATCATGCAAACCTATTAAGAATTTATCTAGCAGTTAAATATGTACATGCAAAATAAAGATGCGGGAATTTAAACTACGTTATTACATCGCTTCGGGATGGGGGGAGTACAAACCAAAACGGGAAAAAATATAAAGGTCCTAAATTAAACTATTACATCCTTTGTAAAGTTACAATAATATGGAAAACAATAACGCGAAAGAAATAAGCAAACGCGCGGAGAATGGAAAATAGTTAAAATCTAAAACCCTAAAAATTCTAAGTGGTGAAAGGAAATATTTTTGTTGTTTTTGTTTAGAAAAAAAATTAAATTAATGGAAACCTAATTCTAATTAATTTAATTAATAAAAAAGGTGATTAAAATAATTAATTAAAATAATTAAATTAAGAAGAAAATCTTAAGTCTAATGTTTTTTTGGTGATTTTTCTGATTTTTAAGAGGAAAAATTAATTGATTGAAATAAAATAAAATAAATAAATAAAAAAGAAAAAAATGGACCACGCTGCAAAAATGAAAATGAGGGATGAGTTTCAGAAATCCCTAGGCCCAAATCACAGGGCCCAGACGCTGCAAAAGATCCCGCACTGCTGGTCTTGAGAGGTGCACGATGGGAATGTGTGTCTGAGGCCTTGGATCTGCATCCATTGAAATTTTATGGTTAGGATACGGGGTGTTTCGTGCGTGCGTTGGGATCTACATAACATTGTATCTGAAAAGAAAATATTGAAAAAAAATAAAATGCAAAACCTGGGTATCGAACCCAGGCTCATAAGCTTTACCTATGCACGCTTTACCACTAGACCATTTAACTGATTCGTTACATAAACTAAAACAAAATAATGTAATAGGAAATTAAAAGCTAATGCCAGATCACCACATACGCACGTCTCAGCGGGACTCTAGATATTTGAATAAACTAATCAGAGTGTTATTTCCGCCCATGCATGCGCTGGTTGGAGTCAAAGGAACTCAGGGACGCCGGTGTCGCACACTTTTCTAGAGCTCAATTGCGACAGTGATGATATGTAATGAAATGTAGCGGTAAAGATTTGAGATTAAGCCATCAATTGACTGATCTCAACACAATGAAGTCGCCATCGCACTTTATTGTTTCCAAAGGGAAATGGGAAAAAAGCGAACAAAACCCAAAAAGATCAGAGATCGAGGTACGGGGGTCGGTTATGCAAAGGGAATGTATTAGCACCCTAAGCATCTATGGTACCCTGCAGGATCCACTTTATTTGGTTTCTTTTAAAAGGAGTGTTATGTAAAGGTTTACTTGTTAAAGGAAAAGAATGAATGTTTATTTGCAAACAAAAGAAAATGGAATGTTTTTTATTATTTTTGTTGCTAGCCTTGGGTTGTAAGACTTAGTGCCTACGTACTCCCTCGTGCAATGGGAAAGTCAGAGCACCGTAGTTTGGCTAGAAAAGACTTGTCTGTTGATTGTTTTTAAACAAGGAGACAAGTCGTAATTGTTAGGAGAGAAATCTCGACTAACGCCCACAAGGTGTGAGAAAGATGGACCCCGCTGTCAACAAGAGTGAGGGTTTGAGAATGCCTCTGGTACTCAAGTGGAAAAGTCGACACCTTTATAACCATGGGGATAGGAGAATGTTGCTCGACTATCAATGAATCATGTCTCAACTCGAAAAAAGTTTTGAATGGTAAAGGTGCTCGAGCGCACAAAAGAGTTTGAATGAGTTGAAGTGTTTTTGTTAATTTTGAAAGATGTCGAAGTATGATTAAATGAATTGAAGTTTTTTTAAAGAAAATAAGTTTTAAAAGAAAAGGCACTCGACAAAGTCGAGGTTTATTATGAAAGCGGTTCGAGTTTATAAACAAAGAAGATTTTGAAAAAGATGAGAAAGTTTTGAAAATTAAAGAAAGGGAGAAAAGAGTCCTCTGTACAGGAGGATAAAAGATACGGTAAAGCGAATCCGACCTAATAAGAAACCAGTACTTGACATGATGAAGTCAATACTGTATTCTCATCCCTTATGGTTTAAAGCCACAGACAGAAAAAAAAAGCTAAGAGTATACCAAACCTCAGGTGAAAATAAATCACAAGTCGACAGCATCAAAAAACCAGCTGTAAGATAATACTCCCAGCAGCGAATAAAGCACAATGAATCACAAGCGAGAAGTGCAACACGTGAAAATAAATCACGGAAAAAAGAAATTTTCGATGACGCTCACGGTACCAGATAAGGCTCAAGATATCGAATAAAGCTTACTGTATAAGATTCCCTGCATTACATGAAATATACAGACAAAGCAAACAGCACGGGAAAAACTTATGTGCGTCTGTACAATTTTCAGAAGTTAGTTGGAATTAAAATTAAGAATCGCAACGCAATGAAAATAATATTTACATAAACTAAATTTATTTAAAAGTGAAGTAAATAAAATAGACAGCAAAGATATTATTTACAAGTATATATTTACAGTACCAAATATTAAATCAAAATAATGAAATACAATAAAGAGGTAAATGGAGAAGTGTAGGAATTATTGATGCGCTATGTGAGAATGGATACTTGAAACGATTTTCATTAACCTTCACAGTAAACAAACTCGTTAGTAGCATAAGCCGTATAAAAATTAAAATGAAACGAAATTGCAACGATTAAAACATGTGCCAGTAAGTATAAAATAAAAAATGAAATTGTATGATGCATATGAACAAATGAATATTTACACAGATAAAAATCAAGAATTCATGACACTGTTCCATGTAAACACAAAAAATCAGCATTGCACACATTATTTCAAATGTATCAAAAGCAACCGCTACTTCAAACACAACGGAAAACAAAAATCCAAAGTTCACTTTGCAACATGAGAAATTGAATTCAAAGCATGAACCAAACAAATGATGATTATCCAACAATTTAAATTTACAAACAAATCCAAAGAAACTCATGCTATAATTCAATTCAATCCATGAAAAATCAAACGCTATCAAGCATCATCAAAAGTTGGACAACAATAAATTATGCATAAAAGCTCATGAAAATCAATTTCCAAGTGATTATAAACATATGTACAAACACCAATATTAAACCAACAAACCTTGTAAATTGATTTCAACTTGAAACATAATCAAAACCATTCTTTAAAATAACTAAAACAGCATGACAACATCAACACCGACAATTCGAAATTATGCCAAAATTACATTAAGCTCAAAAAGTGATGGAAATAAGTTTTGAATCAAATTTTCGGCGAGGTATAAATTCGGACAGCAACAAACACAAATTGTTAACACTCGATAAAAACACCTCAAAGGATTCAAAACTCATGAGAAAACCAAGTGATGCACCAACCATGTTAACCTTATCATTAGACTTGACATAAACAAATTAATCACAATTTCAATAAAACAATAACATATTTACATACTCAAATGATTTCCAAATACAAATTAGTACAAACTTATGAAGTTTCCAATTGAACCGTTAAGACTTAAATCATGAAAAACCTCAAGTGCATTAAATCAGAACTTCATGAATGAACAAATTCAGTTATGCTTAAATGACTTGGAGATTCTAATAGATTATTCACAAATCAACATAACATATTTACTAACAACAATCTATTATCAAGTTGTTCATAACAAAACTCCAAGAACAAGTCAGACAAAAAAAACCAGACATGATGCTTTTACTAGATTCAATCCTCATTCTAATAAACCAAATCAAGCATTAACACTAACCTAAAGCATGAGAGTTAGGAGGAAAATGGGTACTTGCCGATTCAAACAGAGGCGGAAGAATTTGCACTATCGGTGGCGAGGATCTGCAGGTGGAGGAGAGTTGAATCGAAAGTTATTGTTACTGTGTTGAGGGAGCGAAGATTGAGCCAAAGACGCGAGGATTTGTTGATTCGTGTTGAATCGAACAATGGGTGGTGAGTTGTTAGTGTGCTTTTGTTGTGTTAACAGTGGAGAGAAATTGGGATTACGGTGGCGATTGGTGGAACTGTAACGGCGAAAGAGATGAAGGTTATGAGGTGCGATTGGTTGTTATGGATGCGTGCGGAAATTGAAGATGAGGTTGGCTTGCAGTTGTATGTGGAAATTGGACAGAAGGTGATGCTGTTGGAGATTAACGGTTAGGAGGAAGATAAAGAAGGGTAATTGAATGTGGGGTTTGTACAGTAGGTGGAGGGAATAGTGAGAGAGATGAATGGAAATTTGTTTAGTAATAGAGAGAGGAAGAAAGTAAAACGTAATTGTTTACTGTAAGTAGAAAAGGGGAGTATAAGGTTAAAAAGAAAAAGTGGGTTACTACTACTGTGTTGCTTTTTGTTTTCTTGTCCTTAAACAAAGAGATAAATATGCTTTATATAGGAAAATGAAAAACAAAAATTGATTTCAAAGTTAATCACATCCGTTCAAAATAAATTCAGTATGTATTAATCCACAAATTTTGTCAACAACCAATAGAAATCAAGTATAGTGTAATTAATATATTTTTGTGACAGAAACGCCCTTAAATGATAAAAATGAAGTTAAAAACTGAAAGTACCTAAATTAATTCAATTTAAAATATTTTTTTTGAATTTTTTCAGAATAAAAAATAAAGACCCAAAATGACCGAAAACGATAAAAAACAGACGAAAATTTATCCGAAAAAATAAAATGAACATATTAAAATAAACTACATGTCACAAAGATTAAAGAAAAAATATTCAAAAAGTCAAAAATCGAAATAAACTAATAATAAAAATATCAGGCTAAACAGACGTTTTATGGTTAAAAACGAGACTTCAAACTGTACCGAAAAAATAAAGCGGGCATACCGTCATAATCTACACGAGACGCAGATTCATAAAATGTCCGGTAAAAGGTGAAAACTTGAAATATTTTTCTCGCTAATTTTCCGCACAGTGTTGAATCGCTTTTAACGGTATGTCTGTAAAACCAGAATATTTTTATTATCGACACATAAACAACTTGGAGCCATGCAAGAAATGAGTAAACAGATGAAAATGCATGAAGTGAAATGTCGGGTATTTTTCAACTACAGAATGATGCAAATGTCGATTTAAACTGACTTTTGGTCAACTTAAACACGATTAAATGATGCAAATGTAATGAATGAAGCTATTTATTAATGATTGTGACCAAATGACAAAATATGATATGAAAGTGCGACTGGAAAAGTTAGGGGAGAAATTTAGGGTACAACAGCTGCCCCCATTTAATTATCTTTTAGTCAGATAGGCGGAAAGTAATTAAATACAAACAGACCCGAATTTCGTCCCTGGTGCGATGAGATGATAACACATGTTATGAGTGAATGCATGGACTCTTTTATTTTGACATATATATATATATATATATATATATATATATATATATATATATATATATATATATATATATATATATATATATATATATATATATATATATATATATATATATATATATATATATATATATTAATGATGTATGCGATGAGACAGACTCTGTGGGAATATGGAAAGACTTGAAACTGGAAACTTATGGTAGCTCAGATGAAATGACGTGGAAAAACACTCTAGGAAAGCAACAAGATATTTCTGGATATCTGTCAGAGTGACAAGGAGTAACCAACAATACTTGGAAAAAAGATAAAAAAACTGAGAAGGCAAGCAGCGACATCCAAGAATGGCATTGAATGAGGCGAGCAACTCTCTGGAAAAGACAATCAGAAACATCTAGAAGAACATTAGATGTGAGATGAGACCAAATTTGAATCTACATCAGAGTCGTCCAGGAAAGACGCTAGACGGAAGAGAAACACGACATCCAATACTGGCTTTGAATGACAACAAAAGATTCCGACATTCAATAATGGCTTTGAATGAAGGGAAAACTCAACGTCTAATAATGGCTTTAGACGAGAGAGAAAGTCACAACATCCAATAATGGCTTTGGATGGAAACAAAAGATCCTGACATTCAATACTGGCTTTGAATGAAAGAAAAGCTCAACGTCTAATATTGGCTTTAGACGAGAGAAAAGATCACAACATCCAATACTGGCTTTGAATGAGTGAAAAACCTCAATGTCTAATAATGGCTTTAGATGAGAGAAAAGCTCAAGGTGTCCAATACTGGCTTTGACGGCAGAAAAGGTAATAACATCCAATACTGGCTTTGGATGGAGAAAGAGATCTTGACATTTAATACTGGCTTTGAATGAAAGAAAAGCTCAAGGTGTCCAATAATGGCTTTGGACGACAGAAAAGGTAACAACATCCAATACTGGCTTTGGATGGAAAAAGAGATCTTGACATTCAATACTGGCTTTGAATGAAAGAAACGCTCAAGGCGTCCAATAATGGCTTTGGACGACAGAAAAGGTAACAACATCCAATACTGATTTTGGATGGAAAAAGAGATCTTGACATTCAATACTGGCTTTGAATGAAGAAAAAGGTAACAACATCCAATACTGGCTTTGAATGGAAAAAGAGATATCATATCCAAGATTAGCATTGGATGGAAGAGAGAAACAACTCATCCAAGATTAGCATTGGACGGAAGAGAGAAACAGCTCATCTAAGATTAGCATTGGACGAAAGAGAGGCAACTGAACTAACGTTTGCTTTGGTAGGTGCCAAGTAAGTTGGACTTTGATCTCAAGGTGACATGTCAACTGCAACAAGACCTCGGGAAATGCAAATGAGGATGAAACACTCTTGTTATGCATTATGTATGAATTTTTTTATGCATGATATGTGAATGATCTATGCATGTAATGTCGACGTTTATGACAACGGAGTTTAACTCTTTTGTGGAGGTAAGACCGGAAGTTTGTTTCCTCAACATGGAGAACTCTGCCAAATTTGATTGGAAAGAAAATGTCCTGAACCCCAAATTTATCACACTTGTAAACTGTATTGAACTGATGATCTTCTGAGGAAGGACATGGAGAGCTGCTTGGGGATTTGTCCCAGATTAGCTGACTATTGAAGATAAACTGATCATGGCTTCAATCGAGAGTTGCTGGAAATGAGCTGATCACGGCTTCAGCTCTGAAATGACTAATGGAGATAAATTGATCATGGCTTCAGTTTTGAAATGACTGTTGGGAAGGAATGCTCCATGTATGAGTCTTGAAAATGATCTTCTGGCTAACCAATTTTGAGAAAACTCGCACTGAGCAACAAATCTTGAACTGATTCGCAAATGGACCTAGAAGATACTTGCCCCTGATAGGGTCACTGACCAAGTTTCTCAACTTTTTGAAATTCCTTGACGAGGAAAGCTTGTTTGCAAGCAAAATCATTTATTCAAACATGGTAATTTCAATGCAAAGTTCATGCAAAAGTTTTGAATCCAAAATCATTTTTGAAATGATGTTATTGGTGTATAGAAAATGCATCACTGGTTAAAACACAGTGGTTTATACTTTTAAGGTGAAAACAAAGGTATAAAACCAAAAAAAAATGATTCCCAAAAGATCATAAGAGTCAGTTTACGCAACCTTGTTGTAGTATGCTTTCAAAAGAAACCTGGCTTCAATTAGGTCTTTTGAGGGTTGTAACGTGGTCTGGTTCACGGTTTAAGAAATAAAGGATAAAGGCTCAAAGTTTATTTGTACCCAACCCAATCTTCGTGATGTTCTCCAGTCTTACGTTCAGTTAATTCAGACCATGCATTCAGGTTCCAAGAGATTTTGGAATTGCACTGATGGTAATAATGACGATGGCTCAGAAGCTAAAGGATTCTTGAGAATGATAGTCATTTCTTATTACATCTTTTTGCTGTTTTGAGGACTTTTGTCAACTCTGGTGGAGAATTTTGAGGATTTGAAGATCTCTTCTGATTGAATTTATTATTCCCAACTTTTTCCTGAACTGTTTCATTTGAGATTACAGTCAGCGGGATGCCCCAGTTTTTTGCCTAAGTCTTCTTCAGAGGTTTTGACTTAGCAGAATTTTTCTTTTGATTTTTCTTTTCATTTCATTTTTCTTTTTGGAAAGATAATGACTGCCTTGCTCAATAATTACAGGGAACCATCTTTGTCATTTTGATTTGGGAGCATCTTTGACACTTTTTGTTGTGTGCAAAGGAAAGCTTGATCGCGACCTTTATTGAAAGGTGTCTTGCATGATTTCTCTTGTAATTGAATGCACAACCAAATTAACTGAGAACTACCCATCCCAAGGTTAAGATTGCGGTTTTTTTTTTGTATAGAAAGAAATTCCAACTTCTAGGCTCAAAGGGGTGAATGAGGGATTAACTTCCTTATTTTTCCGGTGTTTAGGAGTTGAAACAATGCCTGTATATCCTCAGCAAAGTTTTATTCGAAAGCATACCAGCAACAATTATGGGTATTTCATTTTCATCATCCTCCCTCAGATCTTTGCATAAACAAAAGCTTGATAAAGGGAGTAAACAAGAGAAATATATTTGAAAGCAGTAAATGAAAATGATTTGAATCAAAACATTGCAATGCTCATTTCATTAAAATTCACATGAAAGTACAAACAAAATTTGAAAGCAACAATTTTAACATAAACAAGGGAAAAATGCAAACAGAAAGAAACATGGCCTAGTGACTAATCAGTAACAAGGATGAGCTATCCTGCCTGAAACACTGGCTTTAGGAAGTGACTTGAGGGTACCCCGACTCAGTCTTCAGCCACTTTGTTTTGGCAAAGGATTTTTGACAACATTAGGGTCTGCCTCTTTGAAAGTAAGAATATTTGCTTTCACCAATTCTTGCACTCTGTTTTTCAATGCATAACAGCTTTCTAAATCATGACCGACAGCTTCCTGATGAAATTCACAATGAAGGTCAGATCTGAACCCGACTGGAGGAGGATTCTGAGGAATCAAAGGCCTAGTTGTAATCAAGCCCTTATGTACCATTGCAGGATATAATTCAATGTACGTCATAGGGATGGGATCAAACTGAGCCCTATTCGGATTCTGATTCTGCACAATATTCTGTTGTTGAGGAACCTGAATTGGTTGAGCATTGACCGAGGGAGTAACAACCGCTACTTGTGGTTGATCAATGTATTGAGTCCTACAGCGAGGTCCTCTTATCTCAGTTGAGACAACCTTGGCTTCTACCTCCTTCTTCTTCTGAAAGTTCCCAAGGAATTTCTTTGCACCATTAGAAGATTCAACAGCTTTAGACACTTTACCATTCTTGATTCCTTCTTCTAATCTCTGGCCAATAGTCACCAGGTTTGTGAAGCTGGAAGACACACTACCAATCATCTTCTCCCAAAAGAAAGGGGACAAAGTATCCATGAACAAACCAGTTAGCTCTTTCTCTTCCAGAGGTGGTTCAACTTGAGATGCCAATTCTCTCCATCGTTGAGCATATTCCTTGAAAGATTCTTTCTCATTCTGAAACATATTTTGTAGTTGGCGACGATCAGGTGCCATGTCAAGGTTGTATTTGTATTGTTTTATGAAAGCATCAACAAGATCTTGGAAGCATTGGATACGACCTTTCTCAAGTCCCATATACCATTTAAATGAAGCTCCACTCAGACTATCTTGGAAACAATGGATAAGAAACTTGTCATTCTTTGTGTAAGCAGACATTTTTTGAAAGTATATCACCAAATGACTTCTTGGACAAGTGTGCCCCTGATATTTCTCAAACTCAAGAGTCTTGAACTTTGCAGGCATAACCAGATAAAAAACTAGGCACATGTTGTTAGCATCAACACTGAAGAACTCATTTCCTTCCATAGCTCTGAGTCTCTTCTCCAAAGTCTGATACTGTTCTTTGAACTCTTCAAACTCACCAAAGTCTCCTTGGCTCACATTTCGAGAACTGGTAGCATGGTACTCAAAGAGAGGGTTCCCAAAAGCAGCTTGTGCAGCAGGTTGACGAGAAGCAGTATGAACGATTGGCTGAGGTTCAGTGAAAACTGGAGCCTGAAAGACTGGTTGGTAAGACTGGCCAACCATTAAAGTAATTACAACAGGAGGAAAGTAATTCTGAGGTAATCCAAACTCTGGCCATGTAGTAGATGTATGCTGGATAGGTTGAGTGTCAACAACAGCAGTTGGGATTTCAGATATCACAGTCCTTTGAGGTGGCTCTCCTCTGGAAATCAGGACTTGCATTATCTCAGTAAGTTTGGCCATTCCTGACTTCAACTCATCAATTTCCATTTTGACTTCCATGTTGTGTTGTTCTTGGTTTTCCATTCTTAATCTGACAGCAGCTCTAGTCCCGTAGTTGTGTTGAGGAATCAACTTGGCAGTAAACGACTAAATGGAAGAAAGAAGAAACTGGAAATAAGATCCCGAACAACCTGGATGTATGTTGAATGATGCAGAGGATACAAATGATATGCAATGTTATGCAATGCACTGTATAGTAACAGGATCACATGGTTCAGAGTCACGAGCCTGGAGTCAAAGGTACAACCCATAAGGTATGGACTAATGGTTATCACCTACCGAACAAGGTTCTAAGAGGTTCCCAGAGTCTACATCCTTCCTTCGGATATTACCAACGTCCCGATTAACTCGGTAATTAGTAATATTCTCAAGAAAAACTCGTCCGAGCGTAGTATCGCGTGACAACTATTTCCGGATTACTCTGTCATAGCTTTCGTACTACACCTAAAAGGCCAAGATGGGTTAGGTAATCTACGGTCCTCAGCTTCAGTAGGCTCCCAGGTCGAAAGCAGTACGTCTTCATGATTACTCGGTAAACGACACTACAGTCAAAGGGACCTCCACTGAGTGGGGGATCTCATGTCTCCTTTTTTGGGATTACTCCCTCAAAGTTAACATGACTATACCGCCCGTCCTATCTTAAGTTTGCCCAAAGTCCGGGTAGAGGACTTATAAGAAATCACCAAGCCCCTGAAAACTAAGAAAATCCAGACAAACATATGTACAACATAATGGGAAGTAATAAACAGCAAGTAAAACAATATATACACACTCATAGAAAATAAACAAACAAAGTTAGGATTGACCCACTTAGGAATGGACCAGCAATAGGTCAATCCCCAGTGAAGTCGCCACTTTCCTGTCACACACTTTTATGGTGCTCAATTGCGATAGTGATGATATGTAATGAAATGTAGCGGTAAAGATTTGAGATTAAGCCATCAATTGACTTATCTCAACACAATGAAGTTGCCACCGCACTTTATTGTTTCCAAAGGGAAATGGGAAAAAAGCGAACAAAACCCAAAAAGAACAGAGATCGAGGTACAGGGGTCGGTTATGCAAAGGGAAGGTATTAGCACCCTAAGCATCTACGGTACTCCGCAGGATCCACTTTGTTTGGTTTCTTTTAAAAGGAGTGTTATGTAAAGGTTTACTTGCTAAAGGAAAAGAATGAATGTTTATTTGCAAACAAAAGAAAATGGAATGTTTTTTATTATTTTTGTTGCTCGCCTTTGGTTGTAAGACTTAGTGCCTACGTACTCCCTCGTGCTATGGGAAAGTCAGAGCACCGTAGTTCGGATAGAAAAGACTTGTCTGTTGATTGTTTTTAAACAAGGAGACAATTCGTCATTGTTAGGAGAGAAATCTCGACTAACGCCCACAAGGTGTGAGAAAGATGGACCCTGCGTCAACAAGAATGAGGGTTTAAGAACGCCTCTGGTACTCAAGTAGGAGATTCGACAACTTTATAACCATGGGGATAGGAGAATGTTGCTCGACTATCAATGAATCATGTCTCAACTCGAAAAAAGTTTTGAATGGTAAAGGTGCTCGAGCGCACAAAAGAGTTTGAATGAGTTGAAGTGTTTTTGTTAATTTTGAAAGATGTCGAAGTATGATTAAATGAATTGAAGTTTGTTTAAAGAAAAGAAGTTTTAAAAGAAAAGGCACTCGACAAACTCGAGGTTTATTATGAAAGCGGTTCGAGTTTATAAACAAAGAAGATTTTGAAAAAGATGAGAAAGTTTTGAAAATTAAAGAAAGGGAGAAAAGAGTCCTATGTACAGGAGGATAAAAGATACGGTAAAGCGAATCCGACCGAATAAGAAACCAGTAATTGACATGATGAAGTCAATACTATATTCCCATCCCTTTGGGTTTAAAGCCACAGACAGAAAAAAAAAAGTTAAGAGTATACCAAACCTCAGGTGAAAATAAATCACAAGTCGACAACATCAAAAAACCAGATGTAAGATAATACTCCCAGCAGCGAATAAAGCACAATGAATCACAAGCGAGAAGTGCAACAAGTGAAAATATATCACGGAAAAAATAAATCATCGATGACGCTCACGGTACCGGATAAGGCTCAAGATATCGAATAAAGTTCACTGTATAAGATTCCCTGCATTACATGAAATATACAGACAAAACTAACAGCATGGGAAAAACTAACCTGCGTCCGTAAGTATAAAATAAAAAATTAAATTGTATGATGCATATGAACAAATGAATATTTATACAGATAAAAATCAAGAATTCATGACATTATTCCATGTAAACACAAAAAATCCGCATTGCACACATTATTTCAAATGTATCAAAAGCAACCACTACTTCAAACACAACGGAAAACAAAAATCCAAAGTTCACTTTGCAACATGAGAAATTGAATTCAAAGCATGAACTAAACAAATGATGATTATCCAACAATTTAAATTCACAAACAAAGCCAAAGAAACTCATGCTATAATTCAATTCAATCCATGAAAAATAAAACGTTATCAAGCATCATCAAAAGTTGGACAACAACAAATTATGCATAAAAGCTCATGAAAATCAATTTCCAAGTGATTCTAAACATATATACAAACACAAATATTAAACCAACAAACCTTGTAAATTGATTTCAACTTGAAACATAATCAAAACCATTCTTTAAAATCACTAAAACAGCATGACAACATCAACACCGACAATTCAAAATTATGCCAAAATTACATTAAGCTCAAAAAGTGATGAAAATAAGTTTTGAATCAAAGTTTCGGCGAGGTATAAATGCAGACAGAAACCAACACAAATTGTTAACACTTGATAAAAACACCTCAAAAGGATTCAAAATTCATGAGAAAACCAAGTGATGCACCAACCATGTTAACCTTATCATTAGACTTGACATAAACAAATTAATCACAATTTCAATAAAACAATAACATATTTACAGACTCAAATGATTTCCAAATACAAATTAGTACAAACTTATGAAGTTTCCAATTGAACCGTTAAGACTTAAATCATGACAAACCTCAAATGCATTAAATCAGAACTTCATGAATGAACAAATTCAGTTATGCTTAAATGACTTAGAGATTCTAACAGATTATTCACAAATCAACATAACATATTTACTAACAACAATCTATTAACAAGTTGTTCATAACAAAACTCCAAGAACAAGTCAGACAAAAAAAAAAGAAATGATGCTTTTAATAGATTCAATCCTCATTCTAATCAACCAAATCAAGCATTAACACTAACCTAAAGCATGAGAGTTAGGAGGAAAATGGGTACTTGCCGATTCAAACAGAGGCGGAAGAATTTGCACTGTCGGTGGCGAGGATCTGCAAGTGGAGGAGAGTTGAATCAGAAGTTGTTGTTACTGTGTTGAGGGAGCGAATAGTGAGCCGAAGACGTGAGGATTTGTTGATTCGTGTTGAATCGGACAGTGGGTGGTGAGTTGTTAGTGTGCTTTTGTTGTGTTAACAGTGGAAAGAAATTGGGATTACGGTGGCGATTGGTGGAACTGTAACGGCGAAAGAGATGGAGGTTATGAGGGGCGATTGGTTGTTATGGATGTGTGCGGAAATTGAAGATGAGGTTGGCTTGCAGTTGTATGCGGAAATTGGACAGAAGGTGATGCTGTTGGAGATTAACGGTTAGGAGGAAGATAAAGAAGGGTAATTGAATATGGGGTTTGTACAGTAGGTGGAGGGAATAGTGAGAGATATGAATGGAAATTTGTTTAGTAATAGAGAGAGGAAGAAAGTAAAACGTAATTGTTTACTGTAAGTAGAAAAGGGGAGTATAAGGTTAAAAAGAAAAAGTGGGTTACTATTACTGTGTTGCTTTTTGTTTTCTTGTCCTTAAATAAAGAGATAAATATGCTTTATATAGGAAAATGAAAAACAAAAATTGATTTCAAAGTTAATCACGTCCGTTCAAAATAAATTCAGTATGCAATAATCCGCAAATTTTGTCAACAACCAATAGAAATCAAGTATAGTGTAATTAATATATTTTTGTGACAGAAACACCCTTAAATGATAAAAATGAAATAAAAAACTAAAAGTACCTAAATTAATTCAATTTAAAATAATTTTTTTGAATTTTTTCAGAATAAAAAATAAAGACCCAAAATGACCGAAAACGATAAAAAACGGATGAAAATTTATCCGAAAAAATAAAATGAACACATTAAATTAAACTACATATCACAAAGATTAAAGAAAAAATATTCCAAAAGTAAAAAATCGAAATAAAATAATAATAAAAATATCATGCTAAACAAACGTTTTACGGTTAAAAACGAGACTTCAAACTATACCGAAAAATAAAGCGAGCATACCGTCATAATCTACGTGAGACGCAGATTCATAAAATGATCGGTAAAAGGTGAAAACTAGAAATATTTTTCTCACTAATTTTCCGCACAATGTCGAATCGCTTTTAACAGTCTGGCTGTAAAACTGGAATATTTTTATTATCCACACATAAACAACTTAGAGCCATGTAAGAAATGAGTAAACAGATGAAAATGCATGAAGTGAAATGCTGGGTATTTTTCAACTACAGAATGATGCAAATGTCGATTTAAACTGACTTTTGGTCAACTTAAACACGATTAAATGATGCAAATGTAATGAATGAAGCTATTTATTAATGATTGTGACCAAATGACAAAATATGATATGAAAGTGCGACTGGAAATGTTTGGGGCAAAATTTAGGGTACAACAGCCGGAGTCAAACTCCGACCGTCTTCTCCGACCATGCGAAATCCCAAACCTGCAAAAACGCATCAATTAAAATGTACAAGGTACCCTATCCCCCTTAAAATCTTCCCTTGAGTCCAAATCTGGCGTTGGTTTAGGCCAAAAGTCCCTGTATCGCAGAATCTGAAACTCGGAAAGATTATTGCCCTAACCATGGAATTTTTCATTTCCAACGTGGAACCTTCGATTCAACCATCCATAACTGGTATAAAAACTCATATAAACTCAAACAAATTTTAGCATCCCATGAAACATGATTGAAAACAGATTTTTGAAATCCAAAAAACCTTACCAAACTGGGGTGTTCGTGAATGGCCTTCTAAGCACGGTTGGACGAGTTCTTGGATCTAGGGAGGTTCCTAGGAATCTCAGGGACGTGTTTTGGTCACTTGTTTAGACTGTAACCGCCTGGAAATGGAGATACAAATTTTACAACTTTGAGAAAATATTGAGAGTTATGGAGAGTGTTCTTGCAGCTATTTTATGCGTGTCCTTTTGAGCTTGCATTGTTTTCTTTATATAGAGGAGTAGGAGACTGGATCAATATGTTAAAGAATCAAGCCATTAACTATGATTTTAAAACCACAATCAAGATTTGAAAACTAACCATATTTGTAGCATTCTTGCCAATTTGGATATGCAATGAACCTGGACAATTTACTGGTGGGTTAGCATGAATTATTGGGCCCAAAACTGATCCGACCAATCCCTTATGCATTAGCCCATGTTTTTTTGTAATTTTATTTAATTTAATTTGTTTTAAATTAAATAAAATCAAAATCAAAATAAATAAAAATCATAGCCATGCATAAATGGACTTAGAGGTCCTCTAATATTTGGTAAATATGTTTGATCACCAAAAATTAGGCTCACTAGTTTAAAGTTTCAAAATTGTCCAATTTGAACTTCATGAATTTCTTCAAAATCTCCCAACTTGTGCAGCTCAGAACTTGCTCAATTTTCATCTTTTTAGATGATCTTGAACTTTTTATACATCTCAAGATATCCTCTACAATCTCTATGTTGATCATTTTTGCTTTTGAAGACATTATCTTGATGTAAGTTTCCTTGACAAAAAGTGTCTTTTGTTGACTTTTGAAAATGACCTATAATGTTTAGGTCATATCTTTCAAATGAAGCATTTTTTGGACTTTAAAATAGAAGCAAAGTTGTAGAGAATTTAATTCTCTTCAAAATGAACTTTGGTTGGGGGAAATTTGATGAAGTATGTGAAAGTTATGGCTGGTCAAAGTTCAGTTGATTTCTCCTAAGGAAACTCTAATTTGAAAATTCTTGACTTTTGATGATTTGAGGGTTTTCCTTGGGTAATCATGATCAACCCTTGATCAAATGATGGATATCACTTCAAAATGTTGATTTTGACCAAAAATCTTGAAGTTTGACTGTATGTTGACCACAGTTTACTTTTTGACCAATATAGTTGATTTTCAATCATCTGAGCCATTGAATGAGCAAACTTGTGATATAGGACTTGAAACTTGACATGAACCTTATTGAGGACCCATGGAAGCCACTTGAGACCATTGCAAACAAAATTTCCTTGAGGAACTCCAAACCCTAGTTGTAGACTTTTGGTTTGAGAGGAGCATCTTGACTAGTCAACCCTTGAGTGTCTTAGGTATTTGAGAAGCCTTGAAAGAATGTCTTGAGAAAAATGAGAGGGAAAATTTTGGGGTACAACAGGTTCCCATGTTCAATCTCCTTAAACTTGAAGAGTTAGATTGGCCTGTCCCCCATCCGTTTCTTGAAGGTAAAAGATGATTGAACACTTAAGTGCCCAAAAATTTGCACTCGCCTGTGCAACATGGCAACGTTGTTGGTTGATTGTATCGGGAATGGGATTATAGATGCCATTTCGAAAGGTGATGGAGAGTCAGAAGAGATGGGCTTATAGATGCCATCCAAAATAAATGTTGACTTCAACTGGAAGAAGAATCAGAATAAATCTTTGGGCGACTTAAACTGAACCAGCAGATGTCCTTGATTGTCTTTAACTGGATAAGAATCGGAATAAATCTTAGGGTCGATTTAAACTGAACCATAGAAATATCTACCAGAAACGAATTAGGATAAATCATTGGTCGATTTAAACTGAACTAGAAGAGGTATTGAATTGTCTTTAACTGGATAAGAATCAGAAAAATCTTTAGGGTCAATTTAACTGAACCAGAGACAGTATCTATCAGAAACGAATCAGGATAAATCATTGGTCGATTTAAAATGAACTAGCAGAGGTCTTGAATTGTCTTTAACTGGATAAGAATCAGAAAAATATTAGGGTCGATTTAACTGAAGTAGAGAAAGTATTTACCAGAAATAAATCGGGATAAATCATTGGTTGATTTAAACTAAACCAACAAGGTTTAACTGGATAAGAATTAGAAAAATCTTAGGGTCGATTTAACTGAACCAGAGAAAGTATCTACCAGAAAAGAATCAGGATAAATCATTGGTCGATTTAAACTGAACCAACAGAGGTCCTGAATTGTCTTTAACTGGATAAGAATCAGAAAAATCTTAGGGTCAATTTAACTGAACTAGAGAAAGGTCTACTGGAAAAGCATCAGGATAAATCATTGGTCGATTTAAACTGAGCCAATAGATGTCTATAATTGTCTTTAACTGGATAAGAATCAGAATAAACCTTTGGGAGATTTAAACTGAAACAAAAACGTGTCTACTGGAAAAGAATCAGGATAAATCATTGGTCGATTTAAACTGAACCAGCGGAGGTCTTGAGTTGTCTTTAACTGGATAAGAATTAGAAAAATCATAGGGTCAATTTAACCGAACTAGAGAAAGTGTCAACCTAAAAATGAATCAGGATAAATCATTGGTAGATTTAACTGAACCAGCAGAGGTCTTGAATTTTCTTTAACTGGATAAGAATCAGAAAAATCTTAGGGCCAATTTAACTGAACCAGAGAACAGCGTCTACCAGAAAATGAATCAGGATAAATCATTGGTCGATTTAAACTGAACAAGTAGAGGTCTTGAATTGTCTTTAACTGGATAAGAATCAGAAAAATATTTGGGTCGATTTAAACTGAACCAGAGAAAAAGAATCAGGATAAATCATTGCTTGATGTAAACCGAACTAGCAGAGGTCTTTAATTGTATTTAACTGGATAAGAATCAGAATAAATCATTGGGTCGATTTAAACTGAACCAGGGAAAGGCGTCTTCCGAAAAATGAATCAGGATAAATCATTGGTCGATTTAAACTGAACCAGCAGATGTTTGTACTTGAGAATGACCTTATGAGGAAAATGCTGAAATAGCCCTTCGTCAGGTGTAGCCTTTGAAAAGACTGTCAGGTCATATAAGTAGTTAATGATGTTTGTCGATTGATCTTTCCTGAAAAGGTAAAGAGTTAGCTATATGCAATGTTATGATGTATGAAATGTATTACGCAATGATGTTCTCAAAATAAATGAGATTGTGCTATATGCATTTTGTATGCATATGTTATGAAATTTGGTAAATGTTGTATGAATGTGACATGTTTTTGAAGTGAATTCGTAAACTTGAGCAACATCTTAGTCTGGGGAAAATAAATCATCATCTGTCGCTGGGGATGAAGAGTTTGTGTAATCTTCAATCTTATGGGGATTGTTTCCGTCGGGAATTCATGCTTTCTTATTTGAGGGAACTCCACTGGGGAATATTGATTTTTTCTCTTTGCTTGAGGAAGCTCTGTTGGAGAGTGTTAATTCCTGCTTGGGGAGAATAGTTTAAGAATATTGGTTGTTCATTGCTCTACTGGGGAATTTATATTCTGATTGAGGATGGAAGAGGTGGATAACCTTCTGACTTATCTGGGGAAGATAAGGTTGACTGGTATTTGATTTGATTACAGGTTCCATAA